TTATGCTCAATTAATATTTGACAAAGGGGGCAAGAGCATACAATGGAGTAAAGAGAGCCTCTTTAATAAATGCTGATGGGAAAATTGGACACCCACATGCAAAAAAATGAAACTAGACCACCAACTTACACCATACACAAGAATAAACTCAAAATGGATAAAAGACTTAAAGGTAACTCATTAATCCATAAAAATTCCAGAAGAAAATGTAGGCAACAAAATTTCAGACATCATACACAGCAGAATTTTCACTGATACAACACTGAAGGCAAAAGAAACAAAGGAAAAAATGAACACATGGGACTCCATCAAACTAAAACGGTTCTGCCCAGCAAAAGAAACAACTGTCAAAATGGAAAGGGAACCCATGTATGGGACAGCATAATTGCTAATGATACATCCAACAAGGGGTTAATTTCCAAAATGTATAAAATGCTCATACAACTCAACAAAAGGAAGACAAAGAACCCAATTAAAAAATGGGCAGAGAACCAAAATAGACACCTCTCCAAAAAGGACATACAATTGGCCAAGAGATATAAAAAAATGCTCAACATCACTAATAATCAGAGAGATGCAAATTAAAAAAACTATGAAGTATCCCCTCACACCTGCCAGAATAGCTGCCATAAACAAATCAGCAAACAACAAGTGCTGGTGAGGGTGTGGAGAAAAGGGGACTCTAGTACACTGCTGTTGGGAATACAGACTAGTGCTGCCACTGTGGAAACAATATGATGTTTCTGCAAAAAATTAAAAATGTATCTGCCACTTTACCTGATGATCCCTCTTCTAGGAATATATTCTAAGAAGCCTGAAACACCAATCAGAAAGAATATATATATATATACCCCTATATTCACAGCAGCACTATTTACAATCACTAAGATCTGGAAACAGCCCAAGTGTACATCAATAGATGAGTGGATAAAAAGCTGTGGTACAGCTATACAATGGACTACTATGCAGCTGTAAGAAAGATCTCTTATCCTTTGAGAAGACATGGAGAGACCTATAGAGTATTAGGCTAAGGGAAATAAGCCAATCAGAGAAAGACAATACCACATGATCTCATTTATTTGTGGAATATAATGAACAAAATAAGCTGATAAATGAAATAGACCCAGAGACATAGAAAAGAGTATGGTTCAGACTGAAAAACCTCAGAGGAGGGGGCGGGGGAGATGGATGTGATAAACCAAAGAACTTATATGCATGCATGCATAACCAATGGACACAGACAACAATGCTGGGGGTAGGGGTAGGTAGGAGGGTGTCTAGAGGCAAAAAGGAGAAACATCCGTAACAAAAATAAATTAATAAAAATTGAGAAAAATAAAATAAAATAAAGATAAAGACACTCTCTCATTGGGTCACTTGCCAAAGTCAATGGCTGAATGTCGATTCTGAGTGCAGTGTCTTTTGCCTGCACCACAGAGCACCTCTAACAATGATGCTACTGAGGAATGGGATGCTTCTTTACCTGAGCAATGGAGATGGTTCATGTGAGGTTTTGTAGTCCCTGCTTTTTCTAGATCATGCATGGTACTCTCATCATTGCTAGTTAACTTCTTTTATTTCATCTAACATTTCCTCAAACAAAGCAGGTCCCACATGGAGGCATAGAAAAGGGCAATGCTCACCAGTTTATCTTCTCTACTCTATGATATATAATTTTAAAAGGTATTATTGTAGATGATCCTAAAGTAAAATAATAAATCTATATTTATAGTGTGGTGAGTTAATACTTTTTAAAAACTAAGTGATACCTCTCTTGGTATATATGATTTTTATTTTGCTTGTGTTCATCAATACACTATTTCCTCCCCTATTCTGAAAGGCTGTTTTGCTAAAAGTCCATTTCTTTTTAACTTTTATCCACAGCAAAGTCATAATCCCTTACTTAAATAGAAGCCGGTTACCATGGAAATCATTCTTATGCCACTGAATCAATATTTTGATTTTGCTAACATTTAATGTAAAAAAAAAAAGACAGACTAAGATTTATGAAAGTCACTTTTCATCTTTGTTATAATTTTGTTAGCTAGAAAAATTGTAAAAAAAAAAAAGCACAATAATGAACTCTAGTTAACTTATGATGATAAAGAATTGAGAATTCGTAAAAGAATAATCTACATATTTATATAATGTTGGCTTTGATTACACACATATGAATGCATACATTTAGACTCAAGACTTTTTCTCCATCTTTGAACGGAGCCCTGATTCCTGTTGTTACAGAAGTCATAACTTGAAAGAAGAGATTGAATGTAACCGTTTTTGCAATTGCCTTTTTATTAAGTGCCCTGAAGAGAAAGTGAAATTTGCATTGAGAATCACTCGTCTATAGAAGTTGACCATTTCTGCACCTGATTCTAAGAGTCCATCTGGTCCACTGACACATTTTTAGAGCTCCTTTTGAAGACAGTTGTTGAAGTTGGGCCTAGCCTTTAATAAACCTCACTGCCCATCAAGTAGTTTTCCAAGTCTAACTGAAGTCTTTGCTGCTGCTGTAATTGTGTCCTGGGAAGAAATAAAGAAAATAGAGTCTCTGTTCCGTTTGATAACTAGCTATTAGGAGCCCTAGATCTTTAGATACTGAAGGGATGGGAAATAATTAGGAACTTCTCCATCTCAGGAATTAGCTGCCTAAAGCACCCCAAATGAATAGTAATCAGTTACGTTTTTAAGACAACTGAATCACCACTCAAGTATTTCTTCTAGGGGAAAGTCATCATGACTCTCAGCTTGTGTTCACTGTGACTACCCTGGGTTCTCCTGCCCAGAGGGATCTATTCTGAAGTATGCATTTGACACTGTTTCCAGGAATGTTTCTAGAAGTGTTATACAGCTTGATAACATGCTCCTCACTGGTTGCTTTCCTTGTGTGCTTCATCTCTCCCCTCCTCTTTGGATGGCTTTTTTTATTCCCTCTTATTCTTGAATCATTCTAGATTATATGCAGGCCCTCTTCATTCAGAGACTACTCTTCCAAAAATTTTTTTCTTTATTGATATTAGAGAGAAAGAGAGAGAGAAATAGAAAGGGAGAAGGAGATAGAAACATCTATTGGCTGCCTCCTGCATGCCCCCAGGATTTGGCTCACAACCTGGGCAGGTGCCCTGACCAGGAATCGAACTGGCGACCTGTTGGTGCATGGGTCAATGTTCAACCACTGAACCACACCATCTGGGCAGGAGACCCCTTTTCTAAATCAGTAAACTTCTTTTGCAAACAATCTAATATAATTGATTACATAATTTTCTGAGAAGCGAGGCAGGAGAGAGGTAATCTCTGGAAATGAGATCGCAGAAAACAAAGAGAAATGAAAGGCACCAGTATGAGAAGAAACCTGAGAACAATATGTAAAACGTTCGAGGGCCCTTTAGTGTATTAACTAGTAAACCAAACACCTAAATTATTTCTAAACGCATGAATGTATTACAAGTTGAAGGACATACTGAAATCTTGAATCATCAGGGGGAAAAAAAAATCAAATACTCTAAGGCAGCAGAAAATTTTGTTATGTAAACACACACACACACACACACAGAGTCTTTGCTGTGTTATTCATCATAGCAAACCAAACTGGAACCAAGCTGAGTATCCATCAAGGAGGCAATGATTAAATAAAGTAGTATAATTTACACTGCTCTCCTTAAAAATGGTGTTTCTTAACAAATTGAATGTCATAGAAAATAGTCACAAGAGAGTAAGTGAAAATATAAAACAATAACTCTATGCACAATGATTTCAATTTTGTAAATACGTGTACCCATGGTATTCACATTTGTACTCTCGCACGCATACACATAACCATGATGTATGTTTGCACATACGGGTAATAAGAAACGTTGAGCACAAGTGGAGATTTTCAATGTAGAATGGATGGATTGGTTTCATCTCCAGGCATTTATTTGTGTTTTTCAGTATGCGCTGAAGTTTTTGTTTTTTGGTTAAATAGGCACCGATATGGAAGAAAGGAGAAATGAGGGTAATGGAAAATATGGGACATGCCTCACGGGCACCCCATCTCATGGACTAGGGAAGAGAGAGAGAGAGAGAGAGAGAGAGAGAGAGAGAGAGAGAGATATTTCATGGGGAACTGAGGAGCCCGGGTGACAAAGAAACCTGCCCAGCTGAAGAAAGGACCGCCTTACTTCCACTCTGCCTCAAACTGCTGTGAAACCTGGTGTGCTGGGGGCTGCGGTGGGCGATGCCAACGACAAACAGGTGGGAGAAGGGATGTGGGACCTGGTACAGCCATGCTCTCAAGCTGGCCACTGGCTGGGCCAGTGGGAACTTTAAAGTGTTTTTCCACAAAGTGTATACAAAAATCTAGATGGGCTTCCCTCAAAGACTACTCTACTACCAAGGGACTCTCCGAAAAACTCAGGAAAGCTGAGTCTTAGTGACTCAAGTAAGGACTAAAGAGCGGATGAGACCCGGGGTTAACTTGACCTAATTTATATTCATAGACCAGCTAGGAGGCTGAGATATATTTGATCTATGTATTTTATAGCTGAGGAAAAATATAGACATTGAAATATATATTCATTCACAGGAAGCAAGTACACCAAAACGTAAAAAAAATAATTAGTTTTAAAAATGACTACAATTTTTTTTTCCTTTATATTTTTCTGCATTATTAGTTTCCCCTAATAATCACATAATACTTCTTTAGTTGTATAAATAATATTTATAATACTTATAAAACAAGACAGTATAAATTTCAGGTATATTTCTAAGCTAAACAATTTCCTAATAATTCGAAGTTCTAAGGGGATCAGAAAACACACATTGCCTTACCTTTCCAATAAATCAAACACCCTTTTCAGTTTGTCTTTTGACAGCATCTCAATAGATCCCCTCCCCCTGGATTCTTCCTTTCTGGGACCCGAGCGAGGTGGAGGATTGTGGGCCCCAGGGAGAAGGCAGATGCTCATTAGTGACGTGTGGCCTGAAATCTGTCCTCGGTTAGGGAGCGTGGGGTGCATTACCTTCAGCGCGCTCCGGGGCTTTCCCGCTCTTACTGGTGGGGGTGCTGTTGACCGTCTCCGACGAAGTGCTCAGCTTGGTGCTCGGGTCCCGCTTGGGCTTAGGAGGCGGTTGTCTCCGTGAGCCACAGCTGCGGTCATCATCTGTGCCCCCAACCGAGTGCAGGGACTGGGACCTCACGGAAAAGCCACTGGCGCAAGGATGGGGGAGTCGGTCTTGGGGAGCAGGCATCGTCATGAATCCCATGCGGAAATGTTTGCCCACGTAACTTCCTTCGTGGCCTCGCCCTCCTTCTCCACCTATGCTGTAAAAGAAAGCAGACGCGGTCCGTGGAGAGATACTGAGCGGTGCTGCACAAGGTCAGGCATCCAGTCATATGTACAATGGGTGCTAGCTCAAACTGAACTCTACAGGGGGCAGAGACATTGTCATTAGCATCAACACATTCCATAACTTGCACTAAATAATGATAGCAGAGCAAATGTAACTAGATTATAATCAGAAATCCTAGAGCATGTCCTGGTATCCTGGTATCCTGGTATCCAGATACTCTCAGAATCCTATTCCAAAGAAAAGGAAAACCACGAAGCACATTTCATCTTGGGCCGCCTCCCTTTACCTGGAGGTAAATTGTGTAAGTGGCTTAGAAAGTAAACAAGAATTCCACCTCAGGGAGGTTAGACTGCCCCTCAGCACATGAGTGAGGCCAAATGCTAGCTCTTGAGCCTCGTCTCCACTTCATCAGAATCACATGGACTTTGGTTAGTGTTGTGGGAAAAACAACCAGCTACAACAAAGCTGTGACAAGGGGGAAGGAGAGAGGAGGGAAATAGGGAGGGAGGAAGGGAGGAAGGAAGGAAGGGAGGAAGGAAGGAAGGAAGGAAGGAAGGAAGGAAGGAAGGAAGGAAGGAAGGAAGGAAGGAAGGAAGGAAGGAAGGAAGGAAGGAAGGAAGGGAGGGAGGGAGGGAAGAAGGAAGGAAGGAAGGAAGGAAGGAAGGAAGGAAGGAAGGAAGGAAGGAAGGAAGGAAGGAAGGAAGGAAGGAAGGAAGGAAGGAAGGATATTTGTTTAAATCAGTGAGGAAACTGTCAATCATTTCTAGGTCTCCAGAAACCTTCAGTTACACTAGAAGATAAGTTGTATAATAAGCTAACCTCCCAGGATAAAAATAGCAACATCTAATAAAAAGGTGTAGTTAGAATAGCATCGGATTCTGAGATAGTTCTAAATACCTAATAAATATTTATAGTATACAAAGTTTCCAAAAGTAAGGTTCTTAAGTTCTACATAGAAAAGTTTGAATAAAAATGTGAATCTGTCTCAGTTTAAATCTTATGGGAAATGACACTTGGGCCTTTCTTTATGCTACTAAGTAATGGTGACTCTTTTATGAAGAAAAAGGACATGAATGCCAATGTCAATTTGTAAGAGATTTTTCTAGTGTTTTCCCCACGTATGTTCCTTCATCAAGAGAGGAAAGAAAAAGAAACATTATTAGACATATTTGACAGATTTTCTTAGACATGTATGTGAATGGTAAAAATCATTTTTGAGTGTATAATTTTGGAATCTTGTTAAGTCTACCTTTCTAGACATAAGTTTATTTAAACTTTTTGAACCGTAATTGTAGTCAACTCTGCCTTTATAACATGAAGGAATTCAAAGTAAGGCCTTGCATTTCTCTTTGTTACCTTTTATATCATTATTATGTTTGTCATAAATTTATTATTTTAGGAGAAACAATAATGGGAAATGAGGTTTTTTCCCCTCTTCAATTGAAGATCTATAACAACCATATGACCACTGTGAACTGAGCCAGAAAGGAGTCCACAAGAACACGAGACTCTTATTCTGGCATTTAATTCTGATGACAGCTCGATACTCATCAAAAATATTTTTTATTTTGTTTATTTATTTTGGAATGTTTTGAGTAGATATTCAGATTCCAGGTATACCATCTTTGCAAAACTAAATACTGTAGAGGAGGCTGGAAGCTCAGTACCCTAATTAGCACAATGGAGCTGAGCTGGAAGCATGGATACAATAGAAGGACAGCCGAGTGGAGGTTGTCACAACACGGCTGTAAGCATCCTAAGTCGGTAAGGTGTTCTCGCACATATGATTTTCTGTGCTTTCAAGAACATCAATCAAAAAATAAACTAGAAGCTTACTCAAATAAAGTGGTTTGTGAAAAATCATTGAGCATTTAAGACAGAATAGAGGTGGTGAAGGTAGGGGATGGGTGTGGTAGACTAGGAGGTTTATCTTTGGTTTGTGATGACTGTGGCCTTGATGTTTCTCACAGAAGATGAGCTATTTGATTTCATATAACTTTGACTTCAATTGTTTTTGCATCCTTGTGTCTTTTCCTTATTTTTGTTGCTATATCACTGAGCAAAAGGTGCTAGGTGCTTTAAGGATTTATTTAGACAGTCATTATATTCCTAGTAACACAGACACATGTGGGGATTAATGCATGTGTTACTAATGCACACAGGCATTTATGAGACAGTTATTAGGAATAATTGTATCAGCAATCTCTTTGTTACTTTTGACCTAAATAGGAACTGCAGCTTTTCCCAAACAGATAATTAGTTCTGCTGCTTCATTTCAAATTACTTTTTTTCAGCATAAAACACTTTCATCTAACCCTCTGTGCTTTTGTTCATATATATACATGTACACACACACACACACACACACACACACACTTCTTCCAGAGTGTAATTCCATGCATGCTTTAAACAATAGCAGGCCTCAACTGCAAGTTTAATTTGACCAGGCTGTGAATGCAAGATGAAGAAATGTGGATAAGTTGGATACAAAGGCCATTGTCCATGTCAAGGCTAAGGGTAAATAATAAAGTTGATGGTATATTTAGATTCAAGAGACCAGTAAACAAAGTTAGCATAAAGCCATTTGAAGATTATGGGACATACCATACAACTAACTCCTGAATTTACTATAGAAACACATGGAGGTTCCAAAATACGTAGATTCCTGGACCCATACTAAAGACAACTGTTGAATTATATCTGTTGAATCAGAATCTCTGTAGGTGTAGCCAATGAGTTTGTATTTTTTAAAAGTGCATGCAGATGTTTCTGATGTAACCAATCCAGAGATCCCGAGAAACAATAGTTAGAGCCACTCATGGATAGACATCTGTTAGTTATAAACAGCTAGGGAGACACAATTATCAAAACGTGGGACAAAGGAGACTTGCTAGAGACCAGGTGAAATATAGAAAATAAAGGTACAATGTATTAGGTTTTGTTAGGTCATACTGCAGTATCAAACAATCACCAATTCTTAGTGCTTTGCAACAACAAAGGTTTATTCCTTGGTGTGACAATTGGGTTGGCTGTGTATCAGCTGTAGCCATGCTCCACCTGTGTTTATGCTGGGATATGTTCTTGGGGCAGAGAGAAAACTACACAATTTCTCCAAAGCTTCTGCTCAAATGTAGCATATAATCTTTCACTCACATTTCATTGGCTAAAACCAATCTTATGACCAAGCTTGATGTCAATGGGGTGGGAATTTATTCAACTACAATAGGAAAGCACCGCAGGTTACATGACGATATGTGCGGATGCATAATCCTCTTACAGGTAGGGGATCAAATACTGGTCCAGCAATTTGTGGCATATGCCACTGAGATCTCCCTTCAAGAGAGAACTTGACGTGAAGAATGAAGTTAATGGACAACCAATGACTCATCAGGGGACTTTGTACTTCCTGTGACCATACTTCTGAGCCCTACAGGGTTAGAAGTCCTTTCCCCACATGAGGAACACTTTTTCTAGAAGACACAGCAAGGATCCCATTGAACACCATCTGCCACTACTTCCTGGGCAGTTTGACCTTCCTTCGTAGAGTGGCCAGCAGGCAACACAATGAGTCTCCATTGTAGAAGAGATCATTGAACCCCACCAGCAGGAGGAGGCAGGGCTGTTGTCACATGATGGGGCAGAGATAGGCATGTGTGGAACTCCTCTTCATACTCTCTTGCCCAATTTTTATTTTGAAATGTCACATGCAGCAACCCTGATCTGAGAATGTTTTGGTTACTAGGGGTTCCAACCTCTCTTGAAAGAGGGATTAGTTACCACCAGGTGAGACGAGCAGAGGTGTCAGCTGAAGGTGAGACTGAGTATCAGCCACAGCCCCCATATAAATTGCAATGGTGAGGGCTATAGTCTACCACACTGTCCCCTTATAAGGGTCAGTGGTTGAGCTGCTCCTCAACCTGTAAGAGAGGAACGTCTGCTGAACTTAAAAGGTGAATTGTGGCTGCCATCAGGTAAGTGGCTCAAATCTCCATCCGGAGAGAAACTTCTCCAAGGACAGGAGCTAGCTGACAGCCACCGGCACCAGAGTCTTCAAATCTGGTGCAGCATTTCAGCCAAGGCACTCTCCCGGGAAAGCTCCTAGCGAGGAGCTGAGCATGTTGTGCTATGGGATCTAGCTGTTTCTGCCCAGTGTGGGAGGGAGTCCTCTATGGGCAATCTTCGTGTCTGAGTCTCCCTACTGGGATCACTGAGATTCTCCCATAGCTATACCATGGTCTGGTCTGCTCCTCCTCTGCAGTCATGTTTCCATCCCCTTCTTCTTGGCCTGAGGATTGTCCTACCTATTCCTGCTTTCTTCCCATCCCAGACACCTTCCTTAATAAATCTCACACCTTTAACTCCACCTGGGTTGGTGTCTGCTTTCTAGAGGACATATACTTGGGAATGATCATAAAACCTATGACATTCGAAAACCAAAGAAGAGGAAAGAGAAAGCCTAAAAGGAAACCTGGGAACCCAGGAGTAAGAAATGGGTGTGAAGGCCGGCCAGTGTGGGTTAGTGGTTGAGTGTGGACCCATGTACCAGGAGGTTGCCAGTTGGATTCTGGGTCAGGTCACATGCCCGGGTTTCCGGCTTTATCCCCAGTAGGGGGCGTGCAAGAGGCAGCTGATCAATGTTTATCTCTCATCAGTGTTTTTATCTTCCTCTCCCTTACTCTCTCTGAAATCAATAAAAACATTTTTTTAAAAATTAAAAAAAAAAAAAGAAATGCGTGTGGAAATAGGACATTCTCTGGCTTCAGACTGAGCATTTAAATGGTGGTTGGGGAGGGAGGAACCAACTCCACTGTAGGAATACTTGGCTTGAAATGAAATTTATGGGGGCTGAAGAGAGCAGAGTATTTTTGCAGTAAGACTCTAACACTCAAGATAGATTAAGCCTGACACATCTCATGTTATAAAAATAAACATAAGTTTCATAATCCTGAATTTAAACAAGTATGTTTTTTT